CCCCTACAGGGGACCACCTTCAGCGGTCTGTATCTCGAACCCAAACCCCCTTCTCTAAAATCCTGTATCCGCCCCAGTATAAGGCTTCAGAAGGCAGATTTTAATGTCACATTTGATTTGTATTAAAATGCCTGTAGTATTATCGCAGTATAGTTAAATCGCAGTTTCAATCTTTGAGTAATACAACTGGAGTATATGAAACAAAATTTAGTGTAATTTTCTGCATGTTCTCTACTTTGCAGGAGTTTGACTACAAGACTGTTGAGACATTGGATTTGCCAGAAATGCAAATTTGTCATTACTTTGAAGAAATGTTTGATTTTATAACAGATGGTTTTAAAAATGGCGCTGTTCTGGTTCACTGGTAAGGAAGCACTCAAACAAACATTTTCAACGCATGACATTTCTTTTAATTCAAGTCAAATTAAAGAACTGTTGATAAATTACAGTAATTCTGTTGTTGTTATTTGTTATTCTGTTGCACAATACTGTTCCAATGACTGTTCAAAATACTTGTAGAACATTGATTGATGTTTTTCAAAAACCTTAATGACAGAGAGCAATTGTCGGTCCTCCGAATTTTAATGTGGGAAATTTTATAGAACAAACTTATCTACAGGGCGTGGAAATCTTCTACCCCGCTCTCCGGAGACTCAACCAACTACCACAGCAATGTCTGATTTAGAAACAGAAAACATTTTCCTTAGTTCTATCGAGTTTTTAAATAAATCTACTCGCGTTCCATCATGAATGTCGTTCTCTGATTGGCTACACTACTCACTATCTATTAGCTTCTATTCTGTTGTAGATAGTGTTTAGCTTGCGGTGTGCACTTGTTAATTACTGCCGAAACAGGTAGACTGTTTATTCAGAGAGGCGCGAAACAGTTGCCGTTGTCGAGAAACGTAATTGAATTAAGCCCACGTGGTCTAAAACTGACGCCAAATAGGTAAGCGCACGTGATCACATTCTTTCACGTTCCTGTTAATTTATCCCGTACGATTTGCATCATCGCAAGTCGCCGCCTCATTCTCGTCCGTCGTTATCACTTCACATCGATCTTCGGGAAAAGAAATGTTATGAAAAACTTTTATCTGTATCATGTTGCACTACTAGGTAACAATCAGAACGAAAGATCGACGACTGATCATGAGAAGAAGCGCGTGGGAAAAACTCAGGCTGGAAGAAATGAGCCAAAGACCGCGCGAAGGAATGTGCTCACCCCGTGCTCACGTGCGTTTGACTTTTCATTTGACGGCTTCAAGCCACGTGACCCAAAACGTTCTCGTTTGTCGCTGACGGCAACTGTTTCGCGCGTCTCCGAAAAAACACTCTACCTGTTTCGGTAGTAACTGGCTATGGTTGGCCATTCGTTTCAAAATTACGACAGAGTATACGCGGGTTTTTCTGCCGCGTACACTTGTTTACATACGTTACGTATGG